AAATATTTTACGAATTTACCGGCCATTCAAAGCCTTCGTCAGAGCGCAGAAGAGAGACGCCGAAACACCCATTGTTAAAAACGCAATTAAGTGCCCAGATATTCAGATTCATTGTGCCGGCTTAAGCGATGGCCCAGCTCGCCACTCGCCGCGAACACGGCTGAATATGAATCTGCCGTTGAATTTCAATGACTCGCAAAGATCCCTTCATCTTCGTACCTCCTGGCGATCTCGATTCATCTATCCACAGCAGCGATGTATGGAAAATTTGCGAGATTTTCTCTCGCAAAGATGCGCAAGACGGACAACACAGACGAACCCTGGAAAGACCCTTTTATAAAGGCTATTGTGGGACGGGAGGGTGGTGATCATTGCGTGCACCATTGACACGCATGCGAAACCGATACTCAGTTGGTGCGTTCACGAAGCAAAACGTCAAGCCTGGAGAATTCTTTCAGGGAACGATCGTCACTGCGGATGTATGGAGTACTCGTCTGGCTGCTGATGCTGACGTTTTGTGTGCTCGAGAAGATGGCTATGTCCAGGATGCTGCCGCGAAGACCCAGAAAATCGGCGTATGATTGAGAATGTCGCATAGAACTTTGGAAGACTAACGCAGAACCACAGAACGCAATACAGTTTTTTTTGGAAAACGAATCTCCAATTCAACCCATTTCGGCGCAGCATGGAAGCGGGAATGAACATTGAATCGACGGGCATCCGACTTTGGATAACAAGAAGCCTTTCGCAAATTTGCATTTGTCCACAAGAAAAAAAACCCGACCAAGATCTATGAACGCTGCCTGCTCGAAAGGGGCTTATTGTCAAGTTTCATCACACGCTCCATGTGTAAAAGTCATACGCCGAGGCAGAAATTATCCGCGGTTCGCTCTAGTGTCCGCCTTAAGTAGCGAGACAAAAATTCGTGCAGAAGGCATGATTTCCTCAAACACCCAGCCAGCCAAGGGACGTCCATATTTCTGTAGACTTCGTTCTTCTCTCTTCAATATCATCGATACCATAGACCCCATTTAACAGGCTTTTCACCAGAAATATTCCTTCAGCGAGTTGTTTCCCCAATGACCCGTGTTGTTCAGATACTAATCCAGTTCTAGTTTGTAGACGTGTTGTGTCCACAATCTATCATGCCAGCCGAGTTTATAGCCCCAGGTATTTCCGTTGTCGCAACTTTGTTCCAAATGTCAACGCAAAGCCAGTTTATTTTTATTACCTTTTTTGTGAGTGGACCCTTCACAGCAGTCATCGTTGGGTTCGATATTACCTCAAGAGAGGTTCATGTGTCTTTTTGAGACCATCCGTCGCAGGTGGCGTTGACCGTGGAGAGTCAATCTTCGAGTACTTATGTGATCTGAAGACATCCTTTGCACATGTCATCAGCCAAGGCACTCTTGCGATGGATGACTGCGATCAACGTCTCTGGCATCGGTGGTTCCTGGGCCTGCTCATCTGTTGTTGTCTCTCCGGCATCCATTTTTTCGGGCTTGGCCATAAACATAGTGTTATGTCCGGCTTTTATTCTTAATTGTCTTTGACTATGTCCATGAATAGCACGAGAAGAACAGACAGAGGTAAGCGCTGATCATACTCAAATATTTCATGTAGCTGACAGGATCCCATTTACTCCAGTACTTGTCGACGTTCGATGGATAGCAATGCGAGCGAGCGTTGATTTGGTTGTTATAAAAGAGCACCTAGACAGGACAAGAGCGCCTAGACAGCTGCCCACAGTCAAGCAATGATGGATGACCTATGGATGCTGTTTAATTGGTAAGCCTCATTGCTTATACAACCGAAGTCTAGACAAAAATTCGACAGATATCAATGACGAAGACGTCAAGCCACTCACCCTGTGCATCGGGCTTGATTTTACAATTTTCTGTGGGGCGAGGATAAGACAATTTTCTATCGCATGCATCAAACAGTAAGCATCACTAAACATTTCGTTTATTCAACACACCACTCGCGCATTTGAACTAGCGTGAACAACGCGGTTTCCTGTCACGACACCAGCGTATTCAGGACGAAGATTGTGGTTCTTTCCGTATACGAGGTGCAGGGCCCGGTCTTCTAGTCGAACAGGAAGGCTATAAATTATCTGTCGAGTGAGTTTGGCAGGAACGAACGTCAGTCTAAGTTACTTACCACTTCCCAGGATTAAGCGCCGAGATAGCCATCAGTGTCATCGCTTTGGCTCTATCGCCATGTTTTAAGCGCTTAGGCTGGATATGTTTAGCGACTGATTTTCTCGATGACCAAATCGCGACCGAGGACAGCGATCACAGCGATCAGAGTCGGTACCGTCGGCCTCCCTGAGTTTGCGAAATATTTCGAGGCGGTGAGATTGATTGATGGCGACCGACTGCGCAGACTGCTGATTATTTTTTTTTCGCATTGTAGGTTGATTGGAGGTCGAAGGCTGGCTTCATCGCTGGGGTGGTTATGAATCTAGTCGATGAGACTGCACAGACCGATACGTACTATTCTGACTCACCCATCCATAGATCCTCTCACCCAAAGCCTCCACAACCAACCCTGAGCCTTCAGCGTAATATCGCTCTACTTAAGAACCCGCGATGATCTGCAATTAAGCGTCGAGTGGGTCCCATTTCCATGTTTGTGCAGGTCGTTACTGGCAACGTTGCATTAGCGTTCGAATTGTGAACGAACTTTAAAAATCCAAACCAGTAAGCCTCGTTCCACATTCCACGACGCCTGTCGGGGCCTGATGACAGCAAGGACGGTAGCTGACGATCCACCTGCTATACAGGGCTCCATCGCCTCGTTTACGAGGCGTTGGGGTCCTGCGCCGTACGGTGGCTCCGCCTTGTCTCTCTTCAGGAGTCAAAGGTTCCCGAGTAGAATTCAAACTGGACATGTGTGGAATATTGGAACGCTGCACGAAGGTGCTCACCACCTTCAAAGTTTCCAGTAAATCCATGTCCCTAACCTCCTTGCAGGTCGTCCTCCCTGGTCGCTTGCCTTCTCTACACTCCAGGTTCGTATTTGCTCTCTGGCTTAATTTCCTTGAATTAATGTTCGACGGTCTTGCAGAGTCCAGAATCCACGAGCACACAGGCATGTCTAGGACGGCAAAGGCGGGGTTTGGCATGCAAGAAAATTGTGTTGGGAGGTGAGGAAATATGCATGAGAGCGCAGACGAGTGTTGGCGATGGAATACACGAAACCCACTAATTTCTCTTCGCCTCTCGGGGCGTTTCAGTAAAGTTAGAGTTTGAGAATGATCACGTGAGAAAACATAACGGAAGGAGTGTTGCGACTTTGTTCTTCCTTTGCGAAGAATTGAGGCTGTTCTTTTCGCCCGTAGTATGGACGATAGGTACGCGAGTGTGAGCAACCGGTGAATGGAATGGAAAAATTGTTTAATAAAATAAGAGATACAACAAAGAAAATACAGAGACCCTGTCCACGTAAGAGAAGAAAGCCGAGATAACCCAAGGTATAAATTATCGCCCTCCTCCTACCATCGTTCTCATGTAGCCAGGAGGCCCATTTCCCATGGGCCCATATCCGGGTGTCATCCCAGAAGGAAGCCCGGCGGACATAGGTCCGAGCGTCATGTTCACATTTTGGGCTTGTTGGGCCCCAGCACTGTTTGGGCCCGGCGTTTGATTGTGAACATCTCGCGCGGACCCACGATCCTCACGCTCTGCGATCGTAGCTCCTCCCCGTGCGGGATCTGTTAATCCATTGGTTGCCGTGAAGGTCTGTCCCAGACCGTACAGCTTTCCTGAGTATTCCGCGTCGTCGATCTGGTCGTCAAAGTAGATTTCGCGCATTTTGAAGAAGGTCGATGCAGTTAGGAGCGAGTCTGAGCCTGCCTGTTGGCTCGCGCCTATTCTCAGTACCTAGGAACGTGACGTAACGTCAGAAGTAAATTTTTGTGCGAGCAATCGGTCGTCGACGCACCCCAAGATCATCGGCCACGTCTTGTAGCCCTCCTTTCAGAGCCTTCGATGCTCGTGTCATGTACTTGATATCGTACACAGTTGGGAACCATATTTTCAACAGCGCGAAGAAAGCATCTTCCGTTGTCGGTAACGATTCGGCGGTGAGAAGTTTGACGAAATATCCGAAGTCATAACCACTAGAATTTACCAAATAGATGCATAATCAGTCATAATAAGAAGCGTGTGTGTGTGGAAGATGGCGGCCGTGCAATCATTTGACTACGAAAGCGTTTCATATGAACCACTATCGACGGCATACCGGGCCAGAGACTATGGGAGTATGTACGCACCTATGGAAAGATATCCATCGTGTATCATGCGACAGCACCATTCCGGACGTGATCATGAGCTCTGCGAAGTCGTTGGGGAGGATGCCATACTCTTCATGCCGTTGAAAATCGATTCCAGCTTTCTGTAGTTGTTCCACGGATTCCGGGGTGAACATATCTTCTCTAGTCCCAGAAAACGTATCAGATGCGAATCTGAAGGAGTAAAAGGTATCGAGATGAAGACATACGCGAGGTTGAACCTGAAATTGAACTGCCAAGTCGAACATTCCTGGGGAAACTCTCCCTCCTCGTTTGCTAGCGTGATACCGACTTGGATGATCTTGAGCAGGTCGACGTTACACCGCATCGTCTGATAATGATAGTCCGACGACGTCTTGAAGTTTCCGATGGGCCTTGCGACTACTCCTGGGAATTCGGTGTCCTGAGTCTCAGTAAGTTGGGCGAGTGGATGTGTGGCAGTAAATACGATACGACCATTGCGACATACGGAAAGTGGTCGATGAGATCGCGTATGTTGCTCATCTCGGCCTCCAAGTTAGGCGCCCATACTTCTCGTATCCGAGTCATGGAGATTGGAAGAAAAAAGCGAGAAATAAGATACAAAGCAGATGGAAGGAGAATGTGTTCATGCTCGCCGCGTCGTCTTTTGATGACGTAATATTGACACACCATTGGCTAGTATTGCTGCCGCATAATAAATTAAATTTGCCAAATTAATAATGGCCGACTAGCTCAGCTGGTTAGAGCGTCGTGCTAATATCTGGATGTTGCGAGTGTGATTGCGGTCTGCTGTTACATTTGTGATGTTCTGTTACGCGAAGGTCTTGGGTTCGATCCCCACGTTGGCCATTCTTTTTGCTCATCTAATGTACGTAGATTCAAGAGTATTTTCTGTTTGTGAAGCTCTAGACACCAAACTAGATAAGTAAAGGTCGGCTAGCTCAACAGGTTAGAGCGTCTCGGTAATAGTTATATCGTAAATGCGACAGCGCACTGCCGTAGCATATGGGAAGGTTTTGGGTTCAAGTCCCTTGCTGGCCATTTTGCTTGCGCGAATTGTGATTAGATAATTGATTTAAACAGGGCCAGCACTTTCACACATTTTTTTCGATATGGTATGCATAATATTAGGACTTTAAACCGTTGCATTGACTCGGGAATCTGGAGTCAGTCGCAACTTCCAAGGGAAGCAGGGTCAAGATACGTATACCATACTCCTAGTACGATTGCATTATACCATTAATTCTAGAAAAGAGAACAAAAAATAGGAACAAAAGAAGAAGAAATAAATACCGCACGAATGAAATTTGTGCATTTTAAAACCACGCCATATAACTTGTCTCCTCCACCAAGCCCACGTTAAGCGCCCCATGATCAAAATTGAAGGCTTGATTCTCTGCTACTCTTGGCGATGATGGGATAAACGGTGTAGATCGCGTTGACGGAATCGCGCATTCCAAACTCAGGCCGAGGCTGGAGAAGTGATATATACTCGGAAGCCATTGCGGTTCGGAATCCATTTGTTCCCCTGGATCCGTATTGTCTAGTAGTGCGGTAGCATGAGGAGCGGCCGATGAGCGGTGACGCAGCGTAGCTGGCGAGGAGCGCGCCTCCATCCGCTCGGCCGCTTGCGTTATGACAGGGTGCGCGTCGTTGAAGGACGGCGATAATTTGGGCAGCGGCTGAGGGTACAACGCAAGCCCCGGCTGCATGTCGTGATCATCCAAGTTTCGGTGATTCTCCAATGCCTTTTGGGATTTGTCTATGAGCTTCTGTATCACAGGCTAGACAGGGATGGCGTGCGTGAGTGAACGATAATAATAAAATACACAAAATGATCTACGCACCAAAGCCTTGCTGCTGAATGGCAGGATCTTCGCCGCAGCCATGAATAAAAGGGAAGCTCTTTCCAAATCTTGGAATGCGTGAATTGCAAGCGAAGTGGACGGTGCACGCGAGATGAGGAGCGCAAGTGTCACCTTAATAGACCAGCAAGATTAATGCAGCGTTAATTATAGCTGGAGGTCTCGACTTACAGCTGCAGAGAAGGAGTTGAACCAGAAATGAAGAAAACGAACGCTCAGTTGTTGCTCTCTCTCAAAGAGCGTTTCAACCGCCGTTATTAAGCTGGATGCTCCCAGATACGTTGCAAGTACGGATGACGCATACGGATGGCAGAGATCGAAGGGCTCGGGGCTGCTCATGGCCTCCGTAAAATATCTGCGATGTAATTGGAGCAGCGCTATATCCAAGATAGAAATTATTATTCAATCTTCAAGAGGAGTTGAAGAGAACATCACGAACCAATCTCGCGACTCATTGTAACCAGCCCTCTCTGCATGACCAAGAAACGCCGCGGATTTTCATCATGCCTATGGTGCTCATCCAGCAGCGCGGGAACGCCAAAGTCTCGGACAGACTTGTCCAGATTGATTATGTGCGAATAGGCAGGCTGCGCGACGGCGACCATCGCCTCCAGCATCGGAGTCAAACATTTGATGAAGAACTCGTTCTTCCATTCGTGATCTGAGCTTATTTCGTCAATATTCTCTTCATCCCACCCCAAAAATGCAGGAGGCAAGAATAGGAAGACAACGGTCCTCTGCCTCGGTGCGTGGAGACTCACAGACTATTTCTTCTCTGGGAACATACATCCCCGGACCGATGCATGTGGGTGGCTTGATGTCAACATGCGTCAACTGTATCGACGCTGGACGACCGAGGGATAAAGCCTACATATGTAGAGGAAACATGAGCATGATGTGGGTCGAGAGATAACATCTGCAAACCATCCGGCAGTCCATATTTAACAGCTCCCAAAATACAGAGCGGCGCTTTTCATGCTCCTCTGGAATGCTCTTTAGCTGAGGCTTATCCCTGTCTGCACACCGCCACGAGTGTCGTCAAATAAAAACAGGGTCGAAAAGTTAGAGTCAGTCGTATTCCCGAAAATCAAGGAAACATTTGAATGCGTACGCAGTCCAAGCTAGGGTCGTGCTTCGTAAGGATTCATTCGATCACATGAAGAAAAGACAATTGAAGCACATACTCCTTGGGCCAGTTTCGCGACGAATCCCATCAAGTTCCATGCGTAGCCGACCGCTTTCTTGTTATCCGAGAAGATAAGATGGTACCAAATCATGAAGAACTAGACGACACATCATGTCATTATGATACCCTTATCCACTGCTATGAATCTTATTTCATTACTCACGAGGGCATGGAGGACATCAAAATCGGGCTCTTCCATGAGCGGGATCTCGCAGACTGCAGCTCGGGCGAGATGGTGATAGGCCTCGCCGTGAAGCGATCCGAGGGGACGATTGAGGTCAACCAAGGAGCCGATCGACAGATGCATCAAGAGGAGCGCGAGACGCCTTGGGCTGAGCGCGTCGATGGGCGTCGTATAGCAGTAATTTAACAAATTCGGGAGGAATGTTTCTGATGCGTCCAGGTTGAATCTAATTATTCGGAGTGTCAGTTCCTGCAAATGGTTGGATGAAAGAGATCGAGTTACTGCCAAAGAGCGTTGTTCCGTGCCTCTTGGCATATTCTCTGTGCTTCTTCTCTTGGAGGCAAGGCGTCCCGTATACGCTTCCTCATGCTGACATCTACCGCCCACGGAAAAGGGAATGTAGCGCTTAACTGCAAAATATCGGGCGCTATATCGGGAGGTGAAGACCCTCTTTGTAATTGTACTTTGGGTCGCGAGCTCTCTGCGTATGTCGGCTGCGAGCTCAAGGAAAGTGCGCCAACCGACTGGCGAAGATGTTCGTCCCGCGTACTCGCTGAGGGGTCTGCCGAAGGAGTAGATTGTAAATTATATGGATGAGAACCATAGAGATCTTGCGATGTTTTGACCTTCAAAAGGTGCGGCGCCAAGAGAGGATGTGGCTCGTTTGAATTCAGCGATCGTTCCAGTTCGAGTGCTTCTTCGAGCTGCCTGACGCGGTCCCCAAGCTCGAATATTTTCTCGTGAAGTTGCTCAGCACCGGCAAGAATGAACCTGAAGGTACCTGATCAATGCGGAGGCCTATGACGCATGTAAGGGGTTAATGTCACCTGCTTCCGCGTCCCGAGGTCAGGGCGCCTGTATGTCATTGAGCGCCAAAATAAAAATAGACATACGGACGCGGAACATACCATCGGGACACAAACTCCCACAGCCTCTCTTGACGCACGACTGGATGAACGGAAAATTGTTAGATCTCCAATAAGAAGACGAATAGCGTTCAAGTTCACTTGACAAGGAAAAATTCTATCGCACTGGAGAGCAGGAAATTTTTGAGAGGGCGGTTCATCAATTGGCAAATAGCATGATTACTGACCTTGAGTTTCAGTCTGAATGCACCATGAACATGTCATTCAGAAGCTGGAGGAGTACGGCCACACAAAGATGGACCCACCTGCGACATTCTTTACACGATAACTTGCGATTATTCTTGTCATCCGTGCGGCCTTTATGAGCTCCCGATTGGCCAGCTGCAGCCATGTTCCTAGACCCTCCTCCCATCCCCATATCCTGCGCTTCAAGTCCATATCCAGCGTGATGAGTCTGAGGCACCATCTCCCCGGCAAACGAAACATTCCGAGGTCGTTTTGAGGGTCTTAAAGGAGACTGGTCGTCCTGAATATAGTCGAGAGAGCTCCCAAGCATGTCAGAAAAGTGAGCAAAATGGGTCCTGCTTGGTGGGTGAGCAGCAAGGATGATGGGAAAACGAAAGAGGATGTAGATTAGAGTTAAGAACGTCTCTATCGTCCTGTCGACCCGTGACCTTCGGAGGAACACACAAACTTTTTCTAAGCATAGAAAGTGAGCTAAAACTCCAGGATTCGGAACGAGAGAAACTGCAGGGTCACCGGTTTGCAGCCCGGTCTTTTACAATTTCCTGTGACCTCCCTTCAGTTCTGTAGATTTATTGAACACAATTATCGCTAACAGGGATTATCAATCAGAGATTACAAGGATCTTAAGGGTCGAGAAGAACGTCAGGCGATGATTGAATCAAGCAACGGATTAGACGGGGTTCGAAAGGTCTGAAAATTGGTAAATTTATTAGGCATACCTCGCACCTTAAACGCACCAAATCATTGATATCAGTATTGAGGCAAAATAGGATTTGGAAATAATACAGAACAGACACCAAAATTGTCCGACATGCTCGTCGAATACCCAGCGCATCGGTCGTCATAAACTTCTATTTCGTAATTGGCCAGATCGTACCAAATAAGATGAACCGCGATACGCGGAACAGTACGTACTATTTACCATCCGTGTATGTGTAAGAAGTATACAATACGACAGACATGCTACTGATAGTCGGAACTAAAGAAACGAGGAAGTTCGAAGGGCGCCCACGGCGCAGTGTATGTAGGAAACAGCTAATAATATAGTACATTCAATCCAGGCTGGAAAGATACATGCTAATGATAACAGAGAAAAGGAGAAAACATGGGTGTCGGTAGCTACATAAAAAGTTAAAAAGTTCGAGCCCGTCCATAAAAAATAAGAAAGAGATAGAGAGAATTGAATAATTAAAAGAATGCCATCCAAGCTTGGTCACCTTTTGAATCTAGAGCCCCCATTTCAAAATTAATCGTGTCCACCACTGCCAGTTTTGAGTTCTGCGACAGCGTGTGCCCGGCGGAAGGAACGGGAGGGCCATCACTGGGAAGTACTTGATGCGTATAGATCCCTTCGAACGAATGCTGTTGCGCAACATACCCCGGCGATGGAGCCGAATTACTCGCGGGTGAATACTCCCTATTCATCATCGGAGCAGGCGATCCAGTCGCCGTAAACCCAGCAGGGCCAGGAGACATGCGCGGGAAGTGCATGGCCGAGGGTGGAAGCTCAGGAGGCAGTACTGGCGAAGTCTGCGACTGTGAGCCAATCAATGGCGGGGGGCTCCACGAGTGGGATGGCGGGCAATTCTGCGACGCCTGGTTTGAGCACTGGCAGGGCTTACGCAAGGGGAAGATGGCTTTAGCGCGCTGATGCGCTTCAACGATGCACTGCGTCAAACTTCGATGCGACCGCA